CAATTTGCCAAATTTAATTCCCTCCAAAATTTCCCGCTATACGGTAATGTCAACTACTGGTACATAGTAATATTGTCAAGTCTCAGTACTATAGTGTTGTTTTAGTAAAAAATCTGAAAATCCAAGTTTAATTGGAATCAACATTCTACAAAGTCATATGTAATGTATCAAAAAAGTAAAAATCAAAAGATTTCTTTTGATGAAATACTGTATACAATAACTTACACTTTGTTAGGGGTCTTAAACTCTATTACTTTGTTTTCAATTAACTTACATGCAAATTGCATTACTACTACACTAGTATTATGTAATCCTTACTTTATAACAGCATTACCTCATACCAGCTTTTTCATAACAAAATTTTGTGTTACAATTACAATAAAAATAACCAAGAACTAATTTCCTTAGCAGCACTGTTAAGCTTTGTTTTCATATAGTTTTGACTGTTGTGTGGATTCTATGGTTTGCATACAACCATTGCCTGATCTCCATTTCCAAAATTGTTATTGCAAGGCTATATCAAAATCTGGCTTCAAACACTAATTAAATAAACTTGAGGGTTAATGGGTATACATAGACTAAGTGGTGATGCCTTTGATACACCCACACACTATAGTACAACTCCACTAAAAATGAATTAACAAGATGCATATATTTTACTAATTGCCAGTCGACAATAGAGTCTAGGCTAACCATACTATATGTAACAAGCATAGCGAGTATAGCCAGATTGGTTAACAATTACTGTATACGTTTTTATTATAGGCCGTAGACCTCTATCCATAGTCCCATCACAGGGAGACAATATTTTGACTTCTGATCCCGGCAATCAGTTTTATTCCATAAAATGGTAGACCCATAAACCCTATAATAATTGGCTGGTGCCCAAACGTGAAAATGTGCAGGCAAAACCTTGAAAAAAACCAAAACAAAATTTGTTTGAAACACAAAAAATGTCAATGAGAATCAATCTTAGTCCTGTATATTGATACCTAGTACTGTATTATACTGTATATGCCATATATTTCGCGGGCATCAAATGTCGCAATTTGGCTACATTTTTGTATTCATGAATAAAAATTACACAATTTTAATGTAATTACCACACCTACTATACAATCAGCACACTATTTTGCGGATTTGTAAATTTTTCCAAAATGCGAAAGTCCCAAAATTTAATCCCCACGAACTATATGGCTCATATGGTATTGATCAACATTGTGAACATTGATTCACTGCCATGTACTCAATGTAAATAGCTCAGTGTAAAGACACTACTCAATTAAATTGCTAACTGTTGACAAACAAATTTTATATGTAGACTACACAAACACTTATAAAATTTTAATGTTACGTGTTGTCTCTTACAGTTGCCTTAGATCCAATTTTCCCAATTGATGCAACTTATTCTTCTGAATTAAAACTAATCAGTGGCACAAATAGTGAGCTCCACCATTAAAACGCTAAAATAAGAAATTATAATTATAAAAAGGACATCTTCAAAAACTTACTTTAAAATATTGTCTGCCGTAAGGAAAAGACTATAAACTGAGCTACAGAGCGCTTACAGACCTTTCCACTCTCCAACCGCCGTCTGGAGCAGCTTTTGTACTTTTCTAGTATTAAAAATTGATATGCTGGTCCGTTAAATTTTGTCATCTACCAAAAGTTTTGAATGCAATATGTAATAAAAAATAACAGGCTAAAAAATAACTTAGATACAAGACATAAGGATTCTTTTGCAGCAAAAATATTATTTTATACTAGCAGTAATTAATTTTCATGTTGTTGTCCTTTAGAACGCCAATCCATTTCATATGCTTCAGGCTCTTTTTCAGGATCATCATATAAAGGCAAAGGTTTTGTTGGTGGGGACTGAGGAGGAGTCTTTAGATCGCTTTTCATTCTTTGAACACAAAATATTGCCACTAGTATGAAAACTATCACTGCAACAATAAAAGTGATGACAGCAACAGCTATTACAAGAATCTCAGACAATGAGGCTGGTGCTACTGGTGTTACAGAAGGATATGATGTTGGGCTTGAAATTAAATCCTCTACAAATTAAAATAATAATACGCATTGATTTTAATAGCTACAAATGTACCATAATTAATTCCTGTATATCCATCTAAGCAATTGTATACAGTGTCTCCAGCAATTAAACTACTGACAAGTCCCTTCATTCACACAATTGTTCTCTTCACATTCATAAAGTACTAAAATAATGTTAATGTGAATATATGTCCCTTTTAATCGATGTGTCAACTAATATATGTAACTATATCTACTACCTGATTGATTGCAAACTATTCCTTAATATCCTTCAGAACAGAAGTATTGTTACCAACACATGCTCCATAATTGGCACATGAGGATCATAAACAGCTTTAAAAAGTTAAAATTTTATATATTTAATATTTTTACTTGGCTAAAGTAGATCTATATCTTCTAGAATGTCTAAATCCCCTCCTGTTTCTTTATTAGCCTCTCCAATACTTAAATCACGAATAGCAGCAACATGAAAAAAAGCACAATTTGTCATCACCACACAACTACAGGTTAATCAAGAAATAACAACAGTTAAACTAACCTTTAATGCTTTTTCTTTTAGTTTTGGGGCATTGAACTTTGCATCAAACAATGGAGTGTATTCTGGTTCATAAAAAGTATTCCAGCTACATGTACCAGGCTGACTGTATGTGAAGATACTATATACTGGGGTCATCAATAATCCCTATGTAGAAACATATAAAGTACATAGTGTAACAAGAGTATCATACATGTTTGTCCAAAATGAGTATGTATGTTGATAAAATGCTGCTCACAATACAATTAGTTAATTAAATAATTGATCACAGTACATTAAGAGAGTCAACATTAGTTGGTATTGATACAGTGCTTTGACCAAGAGAAACAGCAACTGCATCTATTTATGTTAAAATATAATGTATACATTTAAAGCGGATACCATATGGAGTGAATCCTTGTTGTGTACAAACAACTGAAGCTTCAGTATCAGTCAATGATGAATCACAAATTGTACCCCATGTCTGACTAACACACAAATCAACTCTACCATATGATGGAGAGGAACTGGTATCTCCAACAATACAAATATCTCCATCAGTAGATCTAAATAATTCTATTATTTACAATAAAATACCATAGTGGGAAAAATTAACAGAGTTTAATTTT